AACAATATTGCTGCAGCTTATATTTGATAGACGTTTTGAATTTTACAAACATTTTGATCAAAGATATCTCGACACCCATCTGACCAAATTCGATCAACTTTTTTTTTATTTTAATTGTAGAGAGCCATAGAATTCAAAGAAAAAATAGTTGATCGAATTTGGACAGGTAAGTGTCGAGATATCTTCGATCAAAGTTAAAAAAAATTTAAAAAATTAAAATGATCTACAGGGGTGTGGCATTATCAAAAAAGGGTGTGAAAATATCAATTCCCTAAATTATATTTAAATATACTCCCTATAAGAAATTGCAGCATGGAATAATACTGCAATGCACGAAAAAGTTTGGATATAGAACCACACGAACCTGTACATAAATTTATATGAGATAATGTATGGGAAAGCACATTTACAGCATGTAATTAGGCACAGATTTCATGCAACTAACATGCAATTTTATGCAGGGAGAAAAATTTGATGTGTGCTTGTGCGGTCTGCACATAAAAATTTTTTGGGCACAAAAAAAATATAATATTGTGCGCAAAGCACACATAATTTTTTAATAATAATTTTAAAATAATGTGTGCAATATAGTTAATCCTGTTCTGCTGTAGCAAACTTTGCACACACTAAATTTAAACTTTGGTATGCAACATGCATTAAATTTTGACTCTGAATTATTCTTCCTGATTTTATATGTTTTCTCATGCATTGTTTTATGCATATTTACATACAGATAATACTTAAAAACATATACCATGCATAACAGATAATAACATATACCCATATATACATTTAAACTCATTATTTATTAACTGATTTTTAAATTTTATTAACTAAGTTTTATAATTTTTATTAACTAAATTTTATAATTTTATTAACTAAATTTTATTATTTTATTAATTAAATTTTATAATACAAATACTTTAATTTAATAATTTACATTCTGAATAAAAAAAATATTCTTATTACTAAATCTATTAATAAATAAAAAAATAACAAAGTAAAACAATAGTACCAAAATAAAAGCTATATCAAAATGACTACTTAGCATTAACTTCAATAGTGCTAACTCCAATTGTAACAACTTTAATAGCAGTAAATCAAAGGAGATATTAAAAAATAGAAGCAAAATGCAATAATATACAAAAAGCAGATAAAAAAACATTAAAAAAATAAAAGAAAAAAACAAAGCCATAAAAACATAAACCAAAAATGACAGTGATTCCAAAAGAGCAATTTCCAAGCAAATGACTCTAAAAGATAACCTTCAAGCAATATAAAATTTGGTAGTTATAAATAAAAAAAATTAAAAGAAAATAATAAAAATTATAAACATAAACAAAAAAAAAATAAAGAAGTAAATATTTATTTACTCGGATTGAAAACATCAAAAAAAAATCAAAATAAAACCAAAAAAAAAACCAAAAAAAAATAAAAAAAATAAAAAATAATTATTTATTTACTCACAGAATGAATGTTTTTGTGCGTGTCAATGCACAGAAATTATGATCATTAAGAATCTTAATGATCATCACATTGCATTGAAATTATGATCATTAATAATAGGGATTTGCTATCTGCAGAATTAACTTTTTTTTTTAAATTTTGAGCAAAGATATCTCGACACCCACCAAACCAAATTCGATGATTTTTTTTTCTTTGAATTCTATAGATTTGTAGAATTCAAACAAAAAAAAGTTCATCGAATTTGGCCTAGTAGTTTCTAAGATATCATTGCTAAATGTTTGAAAAAAATCAAAACATCTATCAAAACAAACTATACAAAATTTTCTTTAACTTTGAGTGAAGCTATTTTTGCAACTACTGGGCCAAATTCGATGAATTTTTTTATTTGAATTTTACGAATCTGTAGAATGCAAATAAAAAAATTCATCAAAATTAGCTTGGTGGTTGTTGTGATATCTTCACTCAAAGTTTTAAAAAAACTCAAAACGTATATCAAAACAAAAGCTGCGCCAAAATTTTTCAAACTTTGAGCAAGGATATCTCAACAACCACCAATCCGATTTCGATGAATTTTTTTTTTATTTGAATTCTGTAAATATGTATAATGTAAATAAAAAAATATTCATCAAAATTAGATTGGTAGTTGTCAAGATATCTTCGTTCAAAGTTTTAAAAAAACTCAAAATGTATATCAAAACAAAAGCTGCACTAAACTTTTTCTTAAACTTGCACAAAGATATCTCGACAACCACCAAGCCAAATTTGATGATTTTTTTTATTTGCATTCTACAGATTCGTAAAATTCAAACAAAAAAAATTCATCAAAATTGGCTTGGTGGTTGTTGAGATATCCTTGCTCAAAGTCTGAGAAAATTTTGGCGCAGCTTTTGTTTTGATATATATTTTGAGTTTTTTTTAAAAACTTTGAGAGAAGATATCTCAACAACCAACAAGCCAATTTCGATGAATTTTTTTTTATTTGCATTCTACAGATTTGTAGAATTTAAAAGATTGGATTGGTTGTTATCGAGATATTCTCGCTCAAAGTTTAAGAAAATTTTGGCACAGCTTTTGTTTTGATATACGTTTTGAGTTTTTTTAAAATTTTGAGCGAAGATATCATGACAACCACTAACCCAATTTAGATGAATTTTTTTTATTTGCATTCTACGGATTCATAGAAAAAATTCATCAAATTTGGCCCAGTAGTTGCAAAGATAGCTTTGCTCAAAGTTAAAGAAAATTTTGTATAGTTTGTTTTGATAGATGGTTTGATTTTTTTCAAACATTGAGCAATGATATTTTAGCAACTACTAGGCCAAATTTGATGAACTTTTTTTTGTTTGAATTCTACAAATCTATAGAATTCAAAGAAAAAAAATTTATCGAATTTGGCTTGGTGGGTGTCGAGATATCTTCGCTCAAATTTTAAAAAAAAGTTAATTCTGCAGAGGGTGGCATTAGCAAAAATAGGGGTGGCAATAGTAAATCCCTAATAATATTAACGATATAATTTCAGTGCAATCATCACAATCATTAAGATTCTTAACAATCATAATTTGTGCACTGACATGCACAATTGTTAAGATTCTTGACTTCTGTGCACTAACATGCAAAATTATTAAGAATCTTATCGATTGCGCACGTTAGTGTACAGAAATTATGTGGTCATTAAGATTATTACATATCAATATATGGATATAATTCGTGCATAATAGCACAATAGTGCACAAATTTCAATTTTTTGTGTGATAACGTGTATTAAATTTTTTGGATGATTAGTTTCGTGCAATAATCATGAAACCCGTGCTTACCCATATACAATTTTGTATTTATGCGTGCATTTCTGTGTATCGAGTTTTCATAGAGACTATTTGATCAATTTGACCAGTACAGATCCTTTGACCAGACCGGTCAAATTGGTCATGTCCAGTGGTCAAACTGGTCTGGTCAAGCCAACACTGATAACAATATAATAATATGAATATGAATGCGCATGATATCGCATGATGTAATTTTTTGATTTTATATTTTCTAAAGGAAAATATTGTAAAATTTGCTCACATTTTGTGTTTATTCATTGTTTAAAATTTTTTGGAGCTTTGACATTCCTACTTCTTAATTCCGCCTGCATTACACTCTCTGGCCTAAATTACATATACATTAATTTTCCTATATAAAATTTTGACATTAATGCATATGATTGAGGAATCATGCGCTCACATGAAACCAATCTCTAGAAATGGCGCGGACATTATGGCAAGAGACGTTCAGATGACACGTATGTGTATGTTTGCACACGTGTTGGCTCAGAGTGAAAGATCAATAAATGATTTTTTTTTTAAAAAAAATACGCAACGTTATAATTTCACTGATGAAGCTGTACTGAGTGTCTTGACAAAAAATTCCTTACAAGATTTTACTTAGTTTTGTTCATGTTTATTATATTAATAAATAATGTAAATTTATTAATCCTATGTTAGTATTTGTTATTGTAAATTTATCCGTACCAAATCCCTAGGGATGTAATCAGCTTGATTAGCTTGGCTTGGCTCATAAAATCATAGCCAAAGCTTAAGCTATAGCTTTAGCAGCTATAATCTAAGCCATGGCTATTGATATGGCTTAACTTATGGCCAAAACATAGTAGGCCAGATAAATCTTGGCATAAGCTATAGTTAAATCACGGTTTAAGCTGTTGAACCATGGCTTAAGTTATAGTTTAGGCCATGGTTTAATTATGACTTAAGTTATTGCTTAAACTGTAATCTAAATTTTAAGATCTTAATCTTCTTTCACTATTAACGTTGTGAACCCGGAAACGTGACCTGAAGCAGGCACGTGCCGTGATCTCGGGTATTTCCAAATTTAGGCTTCCCGCCTAGATTAAATTTTCTCGATAACCCAGATCTAGGATATTGGGGAGTCTGTGCAATAAGGATAATTTCGTTAATATAGTGGAAATTAATAATATTGACTATAAGGCTTTATTGGCTATAGATGAATGTAAATACTGAGTTAACAATTATAAATAAAGGCCCTGTTGGAGCAAAGCGTCTTTAGAAATATTCATTCTACTTAAACTCATAGCATAAAAAAAATAAAAACATGAAAAATAAATCAAACATATAAATATAACATTATAAGCATATGACATATATATATCTATAATAAAGGGACTCTATTGTGTGTTTTACAACACATCGATCTGGTTAGCTGTTTAGTCATATCGCAATTAGTTTCTTAAAAACTGTAACAAACGTTTTCTATTTAACAATTTATCATACAAAAGACGATGTGGAAGTATGTTTTAATAGTTATTTTCTTAAAATTATACTTAAAAGTATAGATAAATTTTCATTATCATGAAATAAATTTAGATATTTTAATCGATTATACGATCTTGTTAAGAACACAGAGTTATAAAATTACTTCAAGCTACTATAGAGTTACTAAATTCAAATAATTAATCGTTAAACCAAAGTTATGAAGGACTTCCCCAATCAAGGATAGTATTTACATGCAGTAAATTGTTAGTTATTTGTTCGAAATAAATCATCAAAGAGGATTTCAGCACGCCACTGTAAATGCCCAGTTTTAGAATTAAAAAAATTCATTAGACTTTTGAAATTTATGTAAAGTATCTAACTATGGTTACATACCTTTGTTGTATTGACTTTCTTGTCTCCAAAACATGTAACCTCTTGATGTTCATCGTTCAACATATAATTATGGCTATTTAACCCCAATTTAGTAAGATCATGCAAAAGAAAAATATCATGGCATTCATTCCAGAGCTCTTTGTCATTAGAAGATATGTCATACACATAATGTTGTATGGTCCAGTTATCGTTATGATCATTCAAAGTATAGCCCGTTACTGTTGAGGAGAGATATTTTAAAGTTATTATATCATCAATCATTAAATGTCAAAAAACAGAAATTTAATCACCTTCCTGTTGAGAAGTTATTGGTGACCTATCATTATGGCCATGTTCAGCTTTAAATTTATGCGAGTGTAGCTTTTGCCCAGTCCCATTATTCATAAGTGTTATTTTGTCACCATAATATACTGGTAAACCTTTCTCCTTATTACCACTATATATTGGAGGAGTTGCATTTTTAAGAACTTCCGGCATTATAGTCCACAATTCGTAATCGGTTGCACGACGGTTTATTGCATATATCTTTAAAAAGGATAAAAATTAACATAAAGTAAAATATAATATTTATTTAAAATTTAATACAAACACAATATTGTTTTGATCCTCCTGTGTATTTTTCAAGTGAGCTTGATAATAGTTTTTCAGTATCAATATGACGTAAAGTGATTACTGATCCATACTTAACTACTCGTTTATATTGAAATAAAAAATTTTGAAGATTTATATAAACTTCATTAATACTTTGGGATTCTGCAATTTTTAGACTAAAAGTGTCTGCAAATAATTTAATAGGTAAAATTTTTAATATAGATTGTTTTTGTAGTTTAAGATCAAAAATTTCTGCATCAGATAGCAATTGTCGTAGTTCGATGATAAAGTCTTGCACTTTGGTTGAATATGTATATTTTAAAGCCAAGAGTTTTTGTTCTGAATTGGTTTTGAAAATTTTAAATGAAGGATCTGCTTTAAGAAATTCAATAAGTTGCGAAAAGTTTGAAATTTGAATATTTTCATCATTGTATATTGAACGACTGATTTTTAAGAGTGCAAGACTAACTAGTTCTATTTCTGCTTTTTTCCCTCCGACGTTGGCAACAAATTTTAAGTTACGAAGCCAATCATCTGGATGACAAGAACCATTGTATTCCGGAAAAGATAAGAAACTCATTATGAATAACTAGAATAACTTAATTATATAGTTGATATAAGATTGAAATAACATGTCGTGCGTACAGTTTATTAAATTTGAATGATTGAGCAAATATGGCCACTACAATCAATTCCACAACTCATAATAATAATGTATCTCTATTACAGATTAGGCTTTTTGCAACCCGTACGTACGCATTTCAATTTAAATTTGTACATAATGATAATGTTTGAGCTATTCCATATTTTTATTTAATCACGTTCATATCCCTTTTTCAATATAAGTACGTACGTACGTACATGTATAAAGTGTTGCTAAAGGAAACCAGGCTTCTAGATTTCAAGCTTACACCTTAATGAGCTCGGCACCTGAAAAATCTGATTACGAAGCTCTAGTGTAATTGGTCTCATTAAGACACATGATCAGCCATATTTCCTTTTTGAAAAAAACGGATACAGTAACAATGTGCTATACTCTAAAGTTTTACAAAGAACGGAGAAAATGAAGCAGACAATTTACCTCAGAAATTTCTTGAGTATGATTCGTCGATGTAGTATGTAGATTTTCCCTTTCCTGTTTTTATGAGCGTTTTAGGGATTGATTTGTAAACTAATAATACATAATGTGCATTGTATTATAATGTCGCATTGCAGCGTATTGCATAAATTACAACGGTGAAAGGTTGGAAAGGGAAAGATTTGGAGGAAGTCATGGAAGATTGAGAAGTTGTACGTTTAAAAAGTATAGTAATGACTGATAAGTGTATTATTTAAACATCTGTTCACATTAAAATTATCTGATTGGCTAACAATCGATTTGAGTTTAAAAATTTTATAAATGAAGTGTTTATTACTCATGTTAAGGATTGGAATAGTGATTCGTTTAACCGCCTTTAACCGTTTATTTATATTATAAGGTTAAACGAGTAAAAAATTTATAAACGATTAAAACCCGTTAAATTATTCATACGATTAATCGTTTAACCCTCACGTGAATATTGTTATGTTATTAAAGAATTTTATAAGTTCCTAACGATTGCATTTAACTTGTCTCCAAAATCTTTACAGAGTACAATATACAGGTAGTCTATATTACGGATAAATACGGTACTTATTTAATATATTCAAATACATATGCTGATAGACGAAAACAAAAGCTCAAAAAATAAATCAGATATCTGTAAGATGCATTTGGGCTGTTATTGCAGTCCAAAACACCTTATAGATATCCACTAATCTATACACACACCAACGTACCTATATATATATATTTTACTGACTTTACGATAACTTATAATTTTAATATATTGGCAGTTTAAATAAAATTTTAAAGTTTAAGAAATTTTAATTCTACTAATAAGAATAACTCTATGATAAAAAAGAAGTTCTTTTTAATTACATTCGATTAGCTAATTTTTGATAATAAAGATATGCTTTATACTCATCCTTTTCAATTCCTATTCCATTTTGATAACAATATCCAACACTTAACATCCCATTAGTAGAACCCATATCTGCAGATTTTTTATAATTAACAAATGCTTTTTGTACATTTTTTTCAACACCAATTCCATATCGATAACAATATCCAACAAAATACACTCCATTAGAGTAACCCATATCTGCAGCTCTCTGGTAATAAATGAATGCTTTTTGTTTATCTTGTTTGATTCCAATTCCGTTTCGATAACAATTCCCGACGTTATATATTCCCCTAGCTTTATTCATATCCGCAGACTTCAAGTAATAAACGAATGCCTTACTTTCATCTTTTTCAACTCCATTTCCTTTATGATAACAATAACCAACGTTAAATGTTCCACTAATATTACCCATATCAGCAGATTTCATATAATAAATGAATGCTTTACTTTCATCCTTTTTAACACCGATTCCACGACGATAACAATTACCAACATTAAATGTTCCACTTGCGTTACCCATGTTAGCAGACGTTAGATAATAATTGAATGCCTTACTTTCGTCCTTTTCAACACCAATTCCATATTGAGAACAACGGCCAAGATACAATACTCCACTAGCGTGTCCCATATCAGCCGATTTTTTATAATAAAAAAATGCTTTATTTTCATCCTTTTCAACACTTATTCCATTTTTATAACAATAGGCAAGTTTATCAAATCCACAAGGATTGTTCATGTCAGCTGACATTTGATAACAAATGAACGCTTTGTGTTTATCTTCTTCAACACCGATTCCCTTTTCGTACAATTGACCAAGATCACACATTCCATAAGAATCACCCATATCAGCAGATTTTTTATAATAAATAAAAGATTTGTAATCATCCTGTTCAACCCATTTTCCATAACGATAACAACGTGCGAGAATGGTCAAAAGAATAGGATTTGATTGATTGTTTAAGCATAAATTAATTAAATCTTCAGAATTTAATTGATTACTTTCTAAATATTTTTCTATTGAATTAATAAATTCTGAATCATAACTTCCTTTGAAAACTTCTTTTTCGTGCAATTTACATAATTCATCGATGATTTTTTTATTTATGAAATCTTGTGACTCATTAAAATCATCGTATAAAGAACATATTTGTTGTAAAGATTGTTTCTGATAATTGAGAATTTCAGATTGTTCTGTAAATGGTTTATTATAAATACTTGACAAGTCTTCATTCGCCATCGGTAATAAAACAAGCGTTACGTAAATACAGTATAGATTGATTACGTACTGTACGTACGTACGTATGTACGAAATGTGTAAGAAAGATCGTCTGATTGCTGATCAAATTAATTGACGGTATTTATACTTTTTAAAAACGTGACTTTAATTACGTAATAATGAAAATAATGAAAATAATGAAGTGAGATCTGACCAATCATATGCATCTACAAATTACAAATTTTCTCTCGTACGACGTACATTGTAGTACCAAGAATGAGAGAGCAATAAATGAGTATGTGCGGTTTAGCTTTGTGCACTGCATAAGTCATGCGGGATGTGTGTTTTATTAGGGGACTCGGTTTATAATAGTCGGACATTAAGTAAAGTATAATCATTATGTTTTATCGAATTGGCTCAATAAAGCACGCACGTAAATGTACGGTATAAATCCACATGTACTTTGTTTCACTACAAATGCTTTCTTGCATAAACCATATTCATAGTATTATTAAATTTCCCAATACTTTAATATATTTCGTAAAATTTTAATTTTAGGCACAACAAAACATCGAAAAGATGCAAAAATATAAATTATAATTCAATTTTCAAATTTTTTTTAAAGTTCCAATTGCTATATTTTTTTCTCAAAAATTATTCTGCGATGACCTTAATTTTCCGGAATTATCCGATAGGTCCGATAAAAAAATCCCAAATTTTCTGATTCCGCATGCAAAACGAAAAATTAGCTTTGGCCTGCATCCCTTGAATGTGTGCTAGGTTTGTGGCTTAGTCAGCCACAGCTGCAATTAAAATCACATGACTACGCTAGTTCGCAATTAATATTAAAATTATTGAATGCTATACAAATTTAAAAGATACAAATGCGTTCATATTTAAGTTTAAATTAATATGATTGAAATACAAAATATATATCTTCGAAACGCAATATATATATCTTCGAATTATAAATATTTATTCTTTAAATACGATAAAACTAATTCAATTGATTTTTTGCAACATTTTTTCCCAAACGATGTTCTTTTTTATTAACCTTTCTCTTTTTTCTGCTTGGAATAGTTTGAGGATCAAGGTTTTCTTTTACTTTGTTTGAGATATTACGTAGTCTTCTAGTTCTGCTGGTTCCTTCTAACTTACGACGTTTAACAGATTCGACTTGAGTACGAATCATAGCACCACTTTTAACCTGTGGCAAATCTATATTGCGATTACTATTATACAGAAAGGAGGTTAATAGTGGAATTGAAAATGATTTTGACGTTCGATATCGTTCAATAAATTTATCCAAGGCAGTGCGATATTGTGAACCAGCATTTTGGTAATCATTCTTGATTTCTTCAAGAAAGATGTCAAGATCGGAATCTTTAATTTCTTCAACTTGTTCAACTGAACAGTCATCAATTCTTTCATTTGGTCCAACCGATTCTCTTGTAAAATATTAAATTTATTTAATTTATTTAATAATAATAATAATAATAATAATAATAATAATAATAATAATAATAATAATAATAATAATAATAATAATAATAA